AGAAAAAACATTTTTTTTCTCAACTGTTGGTTATTTGATTAATGAACTCATTCATTCACAACAATATTTACTGAGTGCCTAGCCTGTACACTGAAAGGAGTTAAGAAACGTAGTAAAGCGGTGATCAAGATAGACTTAATTCCCTTCCCTTATTGTGGAGTCAACATTATAATTAGGGAGGCAGATAAACAGATAACATGTAATAGAAATCTCACATCTTGATAAGTGCTCTGAAGAATAACACCGGATAAGGAAGAGAGACTGACAGGGAAGTTTTAGAGACTTCTGAGTGAAGACTGGAATGTCCGGGACTCCCCAGGCTTGCACTCTGTGGGTCTGCCAATGCTATTTCCTTTTGTCCAGCTTCACGGAGATGTAACTGATCTAATACTGTCTGAGTTGAAGATGTACAATATATTGCTTTGCTACACTTATACACTGTAAAATGATTGCCACCGTAGCGAATGCTAAGTGTCCTAAAATGCTGGCAATCATGAGGTGGAGAGGCAAGCAGGTGGCTGGCAACACTTCACCAGCATAGGGGTTTCAAGGTCTCAGGGGCCAGGCAAAAGCAGACTCGCAAGGGTGCTGTGGGCAGATATATGCGTCCCAAGGCTCACTCTGAAGGGCCCATGGCCTCCAAAGGCAACATGATATAGTTAGACTCAAATTCAAACAACCATCAAGTGCCTGCTCTGCACAATGCACTTGGCAGTACACCTTCACCCTATTACTTACCTAGTCGCCTGCCTATTCAGCCATGGAAACCTCATTGATCAGAGCTATTCTTGAGGCAACCATATGCCCCAGTTGGCCAAAACAGATCTGGGTTGCAACTGTTGTCTCAGAGAAATTATTTATAGTGTTCCCTTTCACTCTCAAAAGTGTCTCAGTTTGGACAATAAGTTACATGATCACCCAACTGGTCCTTATCTATAGTAGATTGATAAACTCAAAGCCTTTGTTCAACAAGTATTTATCCAGTGCCTCCTGCATGTCCGATGCTGTTGGATTCTGGGAACGTAAGGATGAAGCCATGGCCTGTGCCCTGGAATACCACACTGTAATTGGTTGAAACACATGCAGGACATAAACAATACAGTGGGGAGTGCAGTGACAGGGATGGACATGTGGTGTGATGGGTGATGCGGGCATCAGTGGCCTGGCCTCCCCAGGGTGGTCCTTGTGCTGACCGAACACCGGAAACGAAGCCACACCCCTTCACAGCATCATTCTTACCCACAATCTATGGCAGTGGTTCTCAACCTTTCGTTGCTACTTCATAACTGTAATTTTGCTACTGTTAATGAATCGTAATGTAAGCAATCAGTGTTTTCTGATGGTCTTAGGCAGCAGTTCTCCACCTGTGGGTTGCAACAATGTATTTTTATTGATTTCAGAGAGGAAGGGAGAGGGAGAGAGAAATAAAAACAATGGTGAGAGAGAACCATTGATTGCCACCCACAGATGGAGAACAGCTAGCAGGGTCACCTAAGACCAACGGAAAACACAGCTATTTACATTATGATTCATAACAGTAGCAAAATTACAGTTATGAAGTAGCAACAAAAATAATTTTATGGTTGGGGGGTCACCACAACACGAGGAACTGTATTAAAGGGTCTCGGCATTAAGAAGGTTGCGAACCAACGCTCTATGGGATCTTAACAATCTAATTTGGATTCTTACTCCCCTTTCACCACCTCTCCACCGCCTCTTCTCAGATGCCTGCCCTCTAACTGCTGGCGTGTTCCAGGGCACATTTCCTGACCTTTCCTTCTGCCCACAGACCCCATCCCAGCACAACTCTCCGTCTCCAGTCCCCTCGCAATTCCAGCCATGATTACCCAAATCTTAAATCAGCATCCCTAACTTGGATGCCGGATAAACTTCTCAAATCCTAACAGACCCAAGCCATAATCACCTTCTCATCTACTCTCCTCAGATGCTTTCCGGTTTAAGGAAATGGCAACTCCATCCGTTCAGCTGTGCAGGCAAAGTTACCTTTGACTCCTCTGGTTCTCTGATGTCCCACAGCCCACCCCTCAGCACATTCTTTTGGCCTCACCTTCAATGGACATCGAGACTGTTTCTTGTCACCACTTGATGCTCTACTACCTGCTGGTCCAAGCTAGTCCTGTCTCTTGCCTGTTTTACTGCAGGCGCCTTCCCCCAGGCCACCGGGGGTCATTCTCAGTGCAGCACCCGGTATTACCCTTTCCTGTGTAAGACACGTCAGGGCTGCTACACAGCTCCCACGGGCCTAGCAGTAACAGCCCAAGTCCTTCCCACACTGTCACAGTCCCTGCATGACCGGGCCTGGGATTACCTCTCAACCTCTCTTCCTCCCATCGGTCTCTCCTGGTCTTGCTGTTCTTTGACCATGTCCTTGCTGTTCCCTCCTTTGCCTTTTTCAGATGTTTGTTCAAATATCACAGCAGTGAGGCTCTCCTTAATAATTCTATCAGGAGTGGGTTGAGGTATCGGCGGGTGGAGCCATTACAGGAGCTGGAACAGCTGATTAATCCCGATCAAGATGACTACCTCCAGACTTCGTGGCAGAGCCCATGGGGGAAAAGCCAGTGGGGAGCCTGGCCAGGATCGGTGAAGTCCTGGGCAAGAAGCTGGAGGAAAGGGACTTGGACAAAGCTCGCGTGGTCCTTGGCCAGTTTCTGGTGCTAAAGCCATTCTTCCAGGAATGGCTAAAGGACACATGTGGCGCCGATGCCAAGCAGTCTGGGGATGGCTTTGGGTGCCTTCGAGAGTGCTGTGACGCCTTCTTGGGATGCTCTCTGGGGAGCCCCAATCCCCAACACCAGCCTTGAGTCTCCAAAGTTTGCAGCTGAGTGGGGGCTGCTCCCTTGTCCTCTACCAAGGAAACTATTGCTGTCTGCTCACCACCAATGTCCTCGGGAGTTCTCTCCCCTGACCATTTCAACTTTTTTCTTTTTGAATTCTCACTCTTGCATGCATCTCCCTTCTCTTTCCTGCCAGTTTCAGGTCAATAACCAGGATTTCTGGCCCCTACCCTTACCCCTGGTCTGTTTAATGACATTTGGCTTCTCTTTTGGCAAAACAGTCACTGTCTATATAAAGTTTTTTAAATCAATTAAGTCAGTGGCCTTCCGAAAGAAATAAAATAAAATAATTCTATCTGTAGTTTCCAACCTCCCCACCCCCACCCAGCACTCCCTATTCCCTGCTTTATTCTCCCCTGCAGGCTCAATAGGGTTGCTAGATAAAATACAGAACGGCCAATTAAATTTGAATTTCACAGATAAATGATAATTATTAACATAAATATGCTCCAATAGTGTATGGACTATACTTATACTAAAAAAAAATAATTCGTGGTGTATCTGAAATTCAAATTTACCTGGGCATCTTGCATCTGTATTTGCAAAATCTAGCAATCCTGCCATCTAGGATGCTATATATTTTACTTATTTGCTCATTATCTGTCTCTACCGCCCCCAACCGCCCAGACTTAGCCCTTAGAATATAAATTCAATGAAGGCAAGTACTTTTTTTATTAGTCTGTTTGCTGCTAGATCCCCAGTAGCTAAAAATAGTGACTACTACTTAACAGGAGCTCAATATTCATTAAACAAATGAATAAAGAGATCACACTCTCTCTTTGGGACCAGCTCAAGGCTCTCAAGCACCTTTCCATCGCTGTGCTTCTTTGAAAGTTATTTCTTAAATTGGCCCCATTCTAATTGCCCGTGTAGATGCTGAGCCATTTATTGCACCAAAGGCCCAGAGGCTGGATTCCTGCTTTAGGATTAGGACCTAACAAATGAGGGTGGGGGAGGGGCGGGAGGAAGCCTTATCTCCTGCTGGACCCCACTGACCAGGCGCCTGCAAGGAGAATGCTCTGCTTTGGAAGTGCAAACCGAGGCCAGGACTGCTGAATACAAGACTCGGGGATTTTCCAGGGGTTTCTAAGCTTAAAGTTTCCTGCATTTCACCGGGGGGGGGGGGGGGGGGGGGGGGTGTGAAGAGATGAGGGGTGGAGGGCTGGGAAGGGGGCGGGAGCTCTGCCTCTTGTAATTACATTTTCTTCTGTCTGGCTTACTTTTGCATTTTCAGCGTGGATGAGTCATGTGTTACTTCCCTCACACACACCTTTTCCCCAGTGCACAATCCCTACTCCCACACAGCGCTGCAGTCCCGAAAGCAAGGCTTTCAGCTGCTAACTGGACCCAGATGAATCTGGGAGGAGGGGGGGGTAAGAACTGCTGTCTGTATGATGCCGCACGGTAGGTTCTGGGGGCAGACTCTGGAGAGCAGATTAAGTCCTTTCTCTACCCAACCCCTCTGTGATTTTTTTTTTTTTTTTTTTTGGAACAACATGAGCTTCTGGAAATTCCCTACGGAAAAGACAAGTCTATTATAAAAAACAATTCAAGGGAAACTGCCCAAAGAACACTCACCCACATGGTCTAACAACTCTCAACTTTTGAATTAAAACACACAGCAGACTCAGGGTCCCACCTATCCTCCAGATGCACATGGCTCCCGGGCTGGGCTGTTCTGAGCTGTGAAATGAAACATCCCCAAACTCTGTGATTTAAACTCTACAATAGTGGCATCCACCATGCATTTGCCTCAGGAAATTCCCCAACCAATGAACGGGAATGCCGCCGCCCCAGCGAGAGCTCCAGAGCAACAACTGCTCTCTCTCTCTCCCGCGCTGAGCGGCGGGGGGAGACGCTGTCTTTGGCGGCGCATTTGTCATCGCCCGGAGACACAGCAGCTCCTGGCTGCTGCCTGCGCTCCAAATGGGACAGTGCCGAGCCGCTTCCGAAAATCCTGCCGGAGATAAAGTAAAAAAAAAAAACAGAAATCCCAGCTCTCCACTCAGTTCTGCAAACGCGCCACCGCGAAAAATAGCTCCTTTCCTTGGCCCCGAGCCCTGTCCCCACTGATCCAAACGCAGCCAGCGGCGGGGGACGCGCGTCACCGTCGCCCCATCTTTGAATGAGGCTGCTACTCACCCCGCGTGTGCCTGCCGTCCGCTGAGCGAGGAGGGCTCGGCTCGCCTTCCCGGCTTTCTCGTTCTTCCATTGTCCCAGCCCCCAGCACGACTCCCCCCGCTCTCCAAACTTCCCGGCGCAGGTCTGAGAGCTCTCCGAACGCGCCTGGAAGGGGATCCGGGCTGGAGAGGGGGCGGGGGGAGGAGACGGTGCGAAACCCCACCCCAAACTATTCTCCACTCCCGTGCACAGTCTCTGGGGCTGGAGAAAAGTGCATTCCAGCGCCGGGCCTCGGAGCTGCGCCCCCCGCCCGCGCCCCCGCCCGCGGACAGTCCCTGAGCGCCCGGGGCTGCGCCCCCCGCCCGCGCCCCCGCCCGCGCCCCCGCCCGCGGACAGTCCCTGAGAGCCCGGGGCTGCGCTCCCCGCGCCGCGCCCCCGCCGCGCGCTCCCGAGGCCCCAACAGGTGACGGCCTCCCGTCCGGGACGCGGGCTGCCTGTCTCCGCCGCGGCCGGCCCGCCGCTGCCACAGTTCACAGGGATCACTGGCGCGAACCTTCTGGTCTCTTTCATCTCAGACACTGAGTCAGCTTCCCACGTGGGCTGCTATACAGATTTATCAACAGCCAACTGCTGAACGTACCAAATTTCAGTGAAATCCCTTAAACTTTTTTTTAAAAGAGTGTAAGCTGAATATTGTTAAGGAAACACATTCTGGCACTACTTGGAGCCTGATTAGCACACACAGAGGTGGTTTATTTTTGACACCGTCCATTTCAACTAGGCTTTAAAAAGTCTGTATTCATTTGCCTACACTTTGACTGCGGACCTTTCCCCAGCACACACACACACACACACACACCGTGGATAACAGAGCTGAAAAGGACACTTAGTTAAATCAATCTTCTGACTCTCTCGAGTTAATTCATTTAAGATATCTGAAAAGCAACTAAAATGCTTTACTTTGGATGGGCAGGGGTAGGTCCGACTTACTTTGTCTTTTTAAACCACCTACAAATATTTATTTTGTTTTCTGCCCAGTCCTTGAAAAGCTGGCAAATTTCCCAGAAAGTGAAAATAGGCACAATGTTCACACAAAAAAAAAAAAAAAAAAAAAAGAATGGAAAAATAATCTAAGCAACATCAATATCTAAAAGTAGTACAACCACTCGTAGGAAGAATGGGATATTGTAAGGTGTTGTGGACCCCTTTGGTTGAGCAGGGGAGGAGGACAATGGTCAGCCTGTTAACCATACCTTGACCCAGTTTACAGGACAATCAGGCATGGCTTTAGATTAATTTAGATAAAGAATTCGTGCAGAACAATGGCTGGCCTATCCTCCAGATTCTGACCTTGGGTCCCTGTGCGTTTGGCCGTGTGGGGGACATATTTTGGCCATTTAGGGCAAAAAGATGCGGAAGCCCCTAATGGACAACGGATACAGACCAAAAGAAAAGGGGGCATGCCAGGGAGTGAGCTGAACTCACAATGGAGAGGGAAGAAGAAACTCCTAACAGGACTTCTCCCTGAAATCTAAGATGTGGTGAACCTCCTATGAAAGCATGCGTGCAAATGGGTGGACAGGGCAGGTAACTCAAGGTTTCCAAGATTTTGCAACAGAATTAGTTGGTCATCTTGCTTTAAGGATGATCTAATCTGACACAGACAGTGTCTGTACTGGTGGCCCTCAGGCAAATGCCAGATGAAACTTGTTTAACCTTACTATGTCCTCAGGTTCAGGAGAGATCTGTGTTCAGTCCCCCAGGTCCAGATTATTCTGATCCTTGTATAGCTGTGGTTATTTGTCTTCAAATTATTAATGTCAGAAGGACAGGGGGTGTCTGATGAGGGAGGAGAGAGAGAGAGAGAGAGAGAGAGAGAGAGAGAGAGAGAGAGAGAGAGAGAGAGAGAGAAGAAGAAGAAGAAGAAGAAGAAGAAGAAGAAGAAGAAGAAGAAGAAGAAGAAGAAGAAGAAGGCAGAGAAGAGAGGAGGTGGGAAGGGGAGAGGTGTGGAGGGGAGAGAAGGGGAGGGGAAGGAAGGGGAAGGGAGGGAAGGGGGGAGAGGGGAGGGGAGGGAAGAAATTGCAATCCCAGAGTGTCAGTTTAAACCAGAGGTCGCTGGTCCTGGGGCTGGAACACCAACCCGATTTGCTGTGGTGTGTGAACAGCCTGCTCCTAGCAGCTCCTCCTTGTCACTTGACATAGCCCAGAGACAAAACCCCAGAGTAAAAGAGATAAGAGTGCACCTACAACAGATAGCACCCGGCCCTGCCCCAAGTGTGTGGGGGTTCCTAACTAGCTCAACCCAAGCAGAAAAATAGATAAATAAATCCATTTTTAGATGCAGATGATACTTTCTTGGGGCTATCTGGAAAGTGTGAGAACAGCCCACCAGGGGCTCCAGATGGACATACTAATAATGGGGGCAGCTCCCCTACCAGTTCTGAACTCCGTTTAGTTCCCAGGCGGCCCAAGGCACCCCATCAGCAGACCCGTGTTCTAACCGCTGGGACCTCCTCTCCCCCACGGACAAAGCGGGCTGCCTCCTCTGTAGATATCCCTGAAAGCCAAACTATGTGGAATGCACAAAAGAGAAAGGCATTCGCGGTGAAGCTAACTGACGTAAATCATCAAGGACCATGAAATCTGGACGTGCTAGTATATCACAGCACAACGTGTTCTCTTGAACAGTTCAACTTCCTGGCCATTCTACGTGGGGAAAGCTTCTTTTGGATTGGTTACTAGCCCTTTGTTCTTCCTCCTCAAGGACAGGGATGGAAAACAATCTGAGAAGGCGCTGTATTAATGCTGTTGTTGCACTGGCTCTACATTTCTCCCCAAAGCTCACAGAACTTACTGTAAACCTTTTGCTGAATGTCAGTTTTTCTGAGAGGGGACTCTGGAAAACAGTAACTGAACTCTGCCACCAACATAAGCTCTCTAAGTCAGATCTTCATGGAAAATACTATGCTTATCATTGCTGTTGTTGTGGAGATGTTTTCTGGAAGAAAACTATTTGAAGTGCACCATGCTTTTCGGTTTAATGTAATTTCTGGGTTTAAAAATTGCCATTATAAGCCAATCTGCCTACTGCTATCCTTTGAAATTTGCTGTGGAAGGCAGAAGAGAAGTAGCAAAAACTTGAAATTTGATTTTTCCTACAGTTTTATAGAGAACTACAATAATGATACCAGGGGCTAAATTTTCAACCCCATTTCTGTTAACCAAGGAAGGTGCAAGACTATTTCTTGGTTAATTGCTCCATGTGGGCAATTCATGACTCAAATAAACTAACACACTAAAAAGGTGTCATTTAAAAGGCAAGACAAGCCCGGCTGGTGTGGCTCAGTGGTTGAACATTGGCCCATGTACTAGGAGATCACGGCCAGGGCACATGCCTGGATTTTGGGCTCAATCCCTAGTTAGGGGGCGTTCAGGAGGCAGCCAATCAATGATTCTCTTTCAACATTGATGTTTGTATCTCTTTCTCCCTCTCCCTTCCTCTCCTTTGAATCAATAAAAAACATATTTTAAAAAATTAAAATAAAAGGAAAGACAAGCGATGGGATGAAAGATGGTGATTTTGCAGTCAGAGCTAAACTATTATAGTACTGGCTTCTTGCTGGTTTTTATAACACAACTTAAAGGGGCATCTATCATGATGGACATTAATTACAATTACATATGACTTCTCATCAGCCCAATTACATTACAGGACTGTGGAAAGCATGTCAACCTCCTTTATGTAAGTTTTTCAAGAGAGAAATCATTTCTAGAACCAAGCATACATGGAATTACTGATATGTTTCCTGTGCTTGTTTTTTTGTTTGTTTGTTTTTTAATCCTAAGGATAAAATAGCTTCAGATGACAACATTAGGACACAGAAGAAATAACCAATGTTTGCTGAGGTCATAAATGTGATTTTCAAAGACTCTGATGACCGTGAAAGAAAAGCAAAACACAAGTGAAAAACAAACAAAACCAAAATGTTTCAACCAGAGGCCTCATGTTTGATGTCTCCTTTTCTAAGGGACACATTGGTGTATGTCACTCTGTATCTCACTAATGAAGGACTTTTGACAACTGGGAAAACATTTGCTTATAGGATGGTCTGGTGATTGAGGTGTAGGGTCTTCAGTGCCAGTGTTGCCAGCAGTGTGCCAGCTGGCTAGGGGGACCTTCTCCTTAAATGTAAGTCGAAGGGCTGGTGACAGAGAGCGGGGATGCTATTAATAATGACGGTAAGACAAGACGCAGGAGCCATCGCTGCCCAGCCCAGATGGTCACCCACGTGGAGCCCAAGATAAGCCCGAGTGCTCCTCAAGTTTCCAAATGTGAAATGAGCATAACAGCGCTGTCTGAGTTTCCCCACACAGACTTCTCTGGAGAAGTTTAAGCACCAATTAAAGGTGTGAACCTCATTAGCTCTGCATGACAAGCCCCACCAGCAACTTCCCATCAGGAAACACAAATTCCGCAGGATGATATTCTGCAGGATTCAAAACAGCATCTGAAACCAGGTCACCATTTTCATGGTGAGAGCATTCTCTCCAGAAGGCAACGGCTCTTCCTGGAGCTCCTCCTTGCCGTCCTTTCAAGCCCAGCCGCTCCCAGGGGAGCCGGCTGGCCAAGAGGGTGAGGTGGCCCCTAACCCCCACCTTTCGAGTCTCTCTATTTCCATGTCTTGGAACTCTCTTCCCACACCCCATACAAATTCCTCATGCGGTTATAAATATGAGCTACCCTTAGAGCCAATGTGTTAATACTTTGAGCATATCTGCTTTCTTTTCAAGAGACTCCATTGAAGTCTCTTTTATCGGGGGTTCTTTTTATCTCCGTTAAGTTGAAAGATGCGGAGAGCAAAGACCTCGTCTGCAAAACCCCGGAGCGGGGGGCTGCCATGTGTGCAGCAGGTCGGGGAGAAACCCGCGCTCAGCTCCGCTTCCTGGCCACCGGAGACCAAGTCTGGATTCCAGGTGGCAACTTTTAAGTGAAAATTGCAATGGTGTATCCTGGAGTGAGCTAAACCCTGACATGTCCCACGGAGTTCCCACAGGCCCAAGATGGAAGCCATGCCAATGCGAGAACTTCCACAGACACAAGCACCCAGCTTGCTTCCTCGCTGAACCCTTTCAAGTGAGAGTATTTGATGGGGGCGCACTGGACAGGGGTTTCCCTGGCCTTGTATTCCGCCCTGGCCCTTCCCCACCTGCCCTCTCTCAAAGCGACAGTGAGCAGTGCAGGGGGCACAAGAGCCATGGGGAACAAGTCCCAGCACCATGAAATCAGGACCATGTGGTTCACATCTCCAGATTGCATGCCCTCATTTTTGCAAACTGAGGCCTAAAGTGTTAATTCAAGTCATGCTCCCACC